GGGGGTTCTTGGGAACCGGCGATCGGGGAACCAAAGTTGGTTCTGGGAAAATCCCCTGGGCACTATGCCACACCAAGTTAAATTCACAGAAGCGGATCAAGGTGTCAGGACTAGGTGGCGTTCCGAGTTATATCACTGCGAGTGCACAGATCAAGATCACTTTGGGATGGCGAGTTGTGTATGTCATGGACGTCTGAGTAACGAACATCGGAGAAGGGTTGGATGTACCTGTACGCTTAGGAATGGATTTCATGTTCAATGCTGAAGTACGTCTAGGTATTCGTGAAGGAATGGTAGGTCTCCCGGATGAAGAATCGATTTTGATGTACGGGTATACTGTACGAAGACGTATATACCGGAATATCCTAGTCTGCCCCCTTCGAGGATTGCATCTGCGACCCGGAGAACATGCAAACGTGGCCATCCGATATGGACAATGTCGCCCGCTCCAAGATGTCGTATGGGCAGGACGAGGTGGTCAGTGGGTCACCCAAATTGTTTATGGCGCACGATCGTGGGTTGTAGCAATAAAAGTGGTCAACGTTTCGGACCGATACTGTTGGATCGAGTCTAGGACACCCGTTGCTCGGATTGCGGAATATGGGGATATTCCCATAGTTGGACAGTTTGTGCGCCCTGGGTTACGAAGGTATATGGAATGGCAGCAGATTATTCAGGAGAACACATTGTCCGCGAAGGCGAGGGTGCGTCAGGAAGCGTATGAACAGATGCTTCGGGATGCGGCTCCGCCTGCAGTTATGGTTCCCAAGTACAAATGACCAACGAAGTTACTAGTGAGGCCAAGGGAACCTGAGCGAGCCCAGGTTACGAAGATCGTGGAAGAGTTGCAACTGCAAAAGGACACCGATGGTGTGGGATTGGCTGAGAATGCTACGCTTGAGGCATACCCCCGAGTGTGATTGGCTCACTCATGGATGTCGAAGTTTCGCCTGAACTTGTCGCACTGGATGTCAACACCCAGGATAGCGGAGGGGTTGCTAATTCAAGATCCTGCAAAGAAGTCCCAGACGAGGTGGCTCAGGGATCTGTATGTGACGCATTCGAGGACGACCCGTGTGTAGAAGACGAGGATTTCGTGTTACCTTCTTCGGCCGTACCCGGAACACCGCTCGCGAGACTTGATGCAGCGTATGCTAGGTGTATGCGAGTGAGCGCTGCAGAACTCGATTTAGAACCGGCGGTTTATTTGCGAAGGGAGTGAGCTTATGTCTCAATTGAGAGATCAGTTGGTTATGCTACCTGATTTGGATGATCTCTCTCGTGAAGGTGATATTGAGGCCGCTGACGTTGGGGAACCTAGCAAGAGCACGGAGGACCAGGAGAAGCAGCTAAAAGCCGTCCTGAAAAGACACAAGAAGATCTTCTTAGGTGATGGGAATGCTGGCCCGCCCCCGGCGAGGGGCGTCATCTGTGATCTAGATGTAGGCCAGTTGCACAACGACCTCGATCGGTCGGTTCGCACTAGGCAATCAAGGTGTACAAGTTATTGAAGAAGCTTCTGGAAGCTACACTGATTGAACACTCTGAATCGCCATGCGCATCCCCAATTGTGATCGTGCTAAAAAAACGGAGTGGATATTCGAATTGTGTATCGACTATCGGATCGTGAACAGTTTCATTTAATTGTCGAACTACCGACTACCGCTGATTGATGACCTCATCACTAGTTTCGAAGGAATGTTGTGGTTTATGAGTCTTGACATGGCGAGTGGTTTCTGAGCAGTCCGAATGACTGAGAGGGCTAAGCTGATCTCGGCATTCACCTGTCCATTCGGACACTTCCAAAGTGTACGTATGTCATTCGGGTTGAAAAATGTCCCACTAATTTATCAACAATTGCCTGTGAGGATTTGTGCGGCTATCACCCGAAGAAGAAGCACTTGTGGATCAGGATGTGTTAGACTACTTGAAGTTGGACCCTCAGTCGCTGAGGGATGAAATGGATGTGGAACGCAGTATGACACCGCTAGTGGAGCAAATGACGGTTTTCAGACGCTATATCCCTGCACCATCCCAAATGGGGCAAGTCTTGGGGCGCAGTTTATATATCGACGACATCGTGCATGGGGCGGCCACGTGGGATCAGCTATGCGGTAATTTAGATGCATTGCTCTATCGGTAACGGTACTGAAGTATCTCGGTTAACCTGTCCAAGCGCGAGTTCGGGAAACGTGTCATACCGTACC